CCCCCCCCTCCCCCTCCCCGGGTCCCACCTGTTCTGCTGGGGCTCAGAGACGCCCACCTGCTGCGCCGCGGACAGCGCCCGACGCCCTCCTCCCGCCGACGCGGCTGCTTCCCGGGAGGGCCGCGCTTGTCTGCTGGGGATACCCGGAGCCAGAAGGCTTGGGAATGGCCGTCGGGTCAACGACAGGAAGGCGGTCGCCTGAAGGCGCCCTTCCCTGGGGCGCTGGCCACACTACCGGGTCTGACGGCCAGAAGAGGACGCAGGTAACACGCAGCCCCCGCGCTTAGGGCAGCTTCCCGAGGCCACGAGGCCGAGTCTGAGGAGCAGCGCCAGCCCGGATGAGGCGCCTCGGGCCACGGAATCGGCCTCACCGCGGGATCTCGCGAGAGCTTCAGGTCCCGCGTGCGCGCGGAGCAGCAGCCTCCGCACGCGTGGCCGGGTGTGTTTGGTGGACCTAGCACACAAGTGTGCCCTTCTGCCACCGACTCAATGTAGGACACACAGATCCACCACTGCCTTATGGGACATACAGGTCTTTCCTGAGGGCTGGGGTATAAGCAATTTGCGGGGGACACAGTGGAGTTGGTGACCCCAGCCAGGCGCCCCAGCTGAGGCCAGCCCCTTGGTTCTCCAGCAGCCAGGGCACGGCCAAGTCCTGCTGTCACCCAACACGCAGGAATGCCCCTGCCCCAGAAGCTGCCACCTGACATGGCCGCATATTCTGGCAGAGGCTGACGATGCCAAGGGGACCGGGACATGACCCCTGCTCTTACAAAAATCACAGCCCTGAGGAGTTGGGTCCCTGGTGCTTGGGGTTTCAGCAGATGCCACATGCATGAGGGAGGGCGGGAGCCAAGACCCAGGCCAGTTGCCAAGTGGCCAGAAGGCTCCAGGGGGGCTCAGCACTCATCTTGAGCCTGCTCAGAAGGGGTGGTGAGGTGGCCTGGCCTGGCGCTCGATTTGCTTGCCCAATAACCTCTTTTCTTCCTTCACAGAGCCTGTGATAAAACCACTGTAGTCAGGCAGCCTGGGATCAAAACCTGACCCGACCTGATAGAGCTGTGAGAGGCCTTCTCAGGTCTGGCCCGGGTCTGGCCTACTATCAGCCTTCCTCCAACCAGCACTGGGAGGAACACTGCAGCTGGTGCTGTGGGTGGAGTTGAGGGCGCGACGAGGGACGGCTGGAGACCGGGCGGGAGAGCCAAGCCAGCTGCCGCCGACGGCCCGACACAGCCCTCTTTCCCTGCCATCCGCCTGAGCAGGCCTTTCACACCCAGGGAGCTGCAGCTGGTGTCTCTGGCCATGGGAGAAGCATCCTGACCTGAACTGTGCAGTGGCAAGAGCAGGCTCTGGCAGGGCTAGGCCAGGGGCTCGCTTAGTGAGCAGAACCCTCGTCATTCTCAGCCACTGCTGTTTT